AGAACGTGGCCCAGCTTCATGGGCCCAGCAAACTGCACTGGGACGCACTGGATATGGTGTGACTGGGCCCCCAGTATCTGTTTAAGTGTCAGTGCTGATATCAGTTCATGTGTCAGTCAATTTGAGGGTTCGTTCACACCATATGCAGTGCGTTCCGGTCCGATTCTGTCCGGAACGCACTGCATCGCATTGAGGCCGGCTCACTTTTTTGCCGGCCAGGAGGGGGAATGGCATCGTAGCCACGCCCTCCAGCCACAATGCGATCGCCCGCACTGGATCGCAAGCACATTGTGCCTGCAGAGCGGTCCGGTGAAATCAAAATAGTGCCTGCAGCATTTTGATCGCACCGCACCGGACCGCACTGCAGGCACAATGTGCCTTGCGACCCCGTGCAGGCGATCGCATAGTGGCCAGAGGGCATGGCTACGGTGCCATTCACTTCAATGGCCCGCCACACCCCCTCCTGCCAGGCAAAAAAGTAAGCCAGCCGCAATGCGATGCAGTGCGTCCTGGCCAGAATCGGACCGGAATGCACTGCATATGGTGTGAACGAACCCTAAGTGTCAGTGTTAATATCAGTTTAAGTGTCAGTGCCGGTATCAGTTCATGTGTCAGTGTCAACATCGGTTAAAGTGTCAGTTTAAGCGTCAGTCTCAGTTTAAGTTTCAGTGTTAGTATCAGTTTGAGTATCAGCGCCAGTTTTAGCCCCACACTTTTAAGCAGGCCTTTGTGCATTTGTTTTAATTTTCAACTATTATTCCTCAGGATGTATTTAGCTCCTACAGTATGTGCAGCGCTTTACAACATACAGTACAATTACAATACAATAGCATACAAAAGGGTCAGAAGGACCCTGATCATGAGAGCTTACAACCTACAAGGAGGGGCAAATGATACATAAGGTCATAACTGATGTGCAGTCCTTAATGTCATTCATTTCAATGAGCTGCCCGACTAAGAAGACCATGCAACTTTTTTAAACCTCAAGCACTTTTTTGCATTTCTTGCACCTCTTTGCATATGCAAATTGTGGGTCTTGCTCGTTGCGTTTGGGGGCCATAAACAATGAAAGGCACAGCAAGCGTGATAGGCGTTTTTTTTCTGAATTTCATCCAATACATGTAAAATCACACAATTCACATGGTACACCAGTGTAAAGAGGGGCTCAGTGTCAGTGTGTTGAGGTTGACTAAAAAAAGAAAAGAGCGAAAAATTGTTTCTGGGCGCTTCTACAGGTACACAAACAAATAACGCTCACAAACATTGTCTCCTCGTTCATGTCAGGAGAATTTATTTTTGGGTGTTCTTTGGTCGCGGGTCATGGTAATGGCAAAAAACATAAAGCTAAAGTTACATTTTTTTCTATTTTGGGTCAGTTTCTCTTTGATAATAAAACAAATCATCAGATATCTATACATTTTTACCAGCCAATGGAGGTCCAGTACAATTCACCTGAATACAGAACAAAGTACAATTCACCTGAATACAGAAGTGTCTGCACAGATATGACGGGATTTACTAACACATATCAGAGTTGGGTTCAGACTTTCAGGTCTGTTTTACCTTCCATCATAAGGGGTTAAACCTAATATATTGTAAGTATAAAATATATTTTTTATTATATATATATATATAAGATGATTGCATGCAAAAGTGTTTATAATTATATTAAAATAAGATCATTTTTTAATTATATTTTTGCATAAAGGGGGCCCCTTCTGGCATCCAATTGCCCCCTGTCTGGATCGCATACTGAGACTTGTAGTCCCCCAAGTGTGAACAGATGCCCATTGCCCAGCCCTGACAGATCTCTTTCTAAAGAAGTTCTGCAGCAGTCGTTGCCTTGATATGAGTTGTGCTTGTCCAGGAGACAGTAAGGTGATTTGTTCCCCTTCCCCCAGAAAAGCAGCCATGGCTAGCCGATTGCCCCCCCGCCACCCTCCAGTGCAGCCTCCTGCCTCTCAGCGCTGAGCACAGGAAGGAGGTGATGGCTGCACTGTGGAATGTATGGTATGCTCGCCGGAGCCAACCATTTCCAGTACGGGGGTGTTCGGAAAACGCAACATAAATATCATCTGGACACAGCAGGTCGAAGGGTGTTTTTCTTGCGCCGGAACAATCCCTCTGAATTTTTCTCCGTCAGCAGTCGCCTCGTCTCTGCCGTAGGAAGCAGCGAGCCGCCCGGAGCAGGCCTCCCGTCCGCCGGTGCTCCCCCGTCGTCGCGCATTGGTATCGCCCGTGGTAGGTGGGATCGGCTCTGCGGGGAAGTCTCTGGCAGATCAATGAATTCGCTTTGATGGCAGTGTTGGCCAATTGAGCGGAGCGCCAGGCAGAGGCACGGGAAGGAACGCATCGTACATCGCACGGGGGGCTTCCATTGGTCGGGCATAGCCGGGGTGGTGGGCGCCCTGTAGCCCGGACTGACCGGCAGCCGCTGGAGCAGCGCATCGGACTTGGGGAAACTTAGATACAAAGTTGCCTTTATTTCTGCTGGAGGATTGGCACGGACACGGACTGCACGGAACAGGAATGATTTTTCCAAGTAGCAGCAACCCTGTGAGAACCCCGTATAGGAAGGTGAGA